GTGTGTGTGTGTGTGTGTGTGTGTGTGTGTGTGTGTGTGTGTGTGTGCACCTGTGTGTGTTTTATACATGTTTAATTGGTGATGGTATATTTTATTTTGTAACATAGATGAGTACTATGAATGTAGTTTATTAGTGTTGGTTGTCTTTTAATACTTCTGGTTTTGTTAAGGTTCAAGGTGACTTTATTGTCATTCGATGATGACACACCAAGGACTTTCCTACTTGTCTAACTCTTCAGCTTTTTAAAAATTGTATTTCAGTCCATCTTTTAATTTCTTTTCTTCTTGAGGGAAAGTATGATATTCAGTTTCACAACTGATCGATGGTGCTGAGCTGTTAATAAACGTACACCTGCATCCACATTATGCCTTTTTTGCAATGTTAGTGTGTCCCTGTTGTTCGTTTTTTGATGTTCCACAAACACGGAAGCATCAGGTGCAGAGAGCACCAAGGTGCAGTAATTGAAGTGAGTGAATGTGGTTCAAAAGAGGTCATCATGTTGAAAATGTCGGCAAATTTCATATTTTGTCTATCCACAAATCAAGTCGCCTGACATTTCAGGAAGCTGGTTGTGTTGGCACCAACATCTTTTTCTACATTTTCAAAATTTCCCAACCTTCTATGTTTGAAAATCACAGCTGTGTTGTTAAATCATCAGGAAATGTTTATTTGGATTACTACTGCTGAAAGGAGAATGTGGACGGTAATGTTTTTGTGGTTGTCTATGTATGTGTGTGCATGTGTTTGTGTGTCTTGTCTGTCGCCAAAAAGTCTCGTGAGCCGCTGATGACAGATTTGATGATGGACAGATTTTAATGAAACTTTCAGGAAATAATTGCTTAATATACATCTATAACTTTTAGAGCCAGTTCAGTTTAAGATAGCCACCAGCCAACTGACCTCAGAAAATACAAACATGGCTAAAATGTTGTCATTTTTACACATATTGTCCTAAAATCCTTATTGTCTCTAAATCACTAACCAGGATAATCATTTTAATAATAGTTTAAAAAATCACTGTAATGCCACTTTATTTGGTGATATGTGACTCGTCTGTGCTGCTGATTATCCGTGCTGCTGATCTCAGGCTGCTTCTGATCTCATGCTGCTGCAGATCTCATGCTGCTGTATTCATTGTACCCATCTGCTCACCACAGACTCATGTTCGGGCTGCTGTTGTTACACCGTACTGTTTGGATTGTTAGTGTTTAGCGTACATCTTAGATCTTTTGGCGTGCCATTTGGCATTCGTTTGGGACATATCTTAGTGTATATTTTAGTGTAGACCTGTCACGATAACAAACTTTGCTGGGTGATTAATTGTCTCAGAAATCATTGCGATAAATTATAATATTGTTTGAAACTTGACAATAATTAGTAGTAATTGTCAAATTTAAGAAGAAATGTTGGTTAATTTATTTTGTGTGTAGTACCTTTTTTGACCACCGGATGGCAGTATAAGACTGTTTGAATTGAAGGATAGATAGTGAGGGAGCAAGCAGCGTGGCTCTTTAAGAAAAATGGAAGGGAGGCCCCTTGATGTGACATGGGCTGTCTCTCTTTCCTTTTTTGGGGTTCTCAAAATGGTGGACGCTCTGTGTGGTTTGAGCTCTTTAGCATAGCATTTTTCACAAAGCTTTTAATGAAAAATCAGTAAACAAGTTCTCAGTTTCTTTTTGCAAAGAAAAACAACTTTTTACACAAAGGAACGTGATTCAACTAAGAATTTTTGAGCTTCAACAAGACGGAGGTTTTTTTTCCTGAGGTCGGCCTGTTAGCTTAGCTCTTAACTTAGCTTCTCAGTTTTCAACGTGATTTTGGACAATTAAAACAAATTTTACAGAGAAAAGAGGAAGGGAGGGGTCAGGGACGAGCACCGGAGTTGAGCCTTTTGTCATCCAGTGTCTTCAGTAAAAAGAGAGAGAGACACGAAGAAATGATATAGCCGATAAATGAAAATTAGGTTGATAATTTTCATTCATCATGCGATTAATTATTATCGCGACAGGCCTATTTTAGTATATATCTTAGATCCTTATGTACTGTTTTTTTTACACTTTTATTGTTACTGTTGTTGGATGTAACTGGGACGATGTGTACATAATTTTGTTCCAGCTCACGTACCACATGTGATGAAGCGACAATTAAATTGACGAACTTGAACTTGAACTTGAACTTGAACTTGAAAATTTGGTGTGTGTTGTTGAGCTGAGAGTTATTTACAGTTTATTCTCTATGTTGCTCAATGTGCAAGACCGTTGTCTTCAGCTTTAGCACTGACGTCTGGAGTCAACCTTGTTTGTCCAAATATCTCACGTACCAGTTGACAGATTTTATTAAAACTTACAGAATGCAATCACCTGATTTACATGTATAGTTGATTAACCTTTGGAGATGGTTGCTGTAGCTAATCAACATTAGCCAACACAACTATGGCTGCGAATCAGTCAGTTTTACAGAAATTGGTCCTAAAATTGGATTTGGTTGTAGATGAGTCATTCACAACATGTACTGTGAGTGTTCATGGTTTACCTGAGATAAAGGATTGACAACAATGTTTAGTATCGAATGATCTTAATCTAAAACTCTGGCATTGAAGGTGTCGGCGATGTGCCTTTCTTTAAGGAATGCTACGCCTTTAATTTGATGAAAGGATTTTCTACAAGCTGAGGTTTCTTTGTCTTTCTTGGCTGCAGGTTATGGATGTTTGTTGTGGTAAATTGAATGCGATTGTCATCCAAAGTGTGAACTCACCTCCCTGACTGCTTAGCAACACTTACGTCAAAGTTAAATGTAAATTTAAGACTTGCTTAACAGCTCCCACTCATCAAGTATGCAGAGTGAAGGCAAAGCATACACTGATTCAGTAAAATGCCACACTTCCTCTTAATAAAATCTCACACTTCATCTTTTCTGTCCTTCGCTTGAAATTACTCTTGACATTTTCATTTTGCTCTCTGCCTCAGAGATCCTGTAGATGGATGTAACTCAACGTGTTCTGTGAATAAGAAGGGGACTGAGACCCAAGTGTGCTTGTTTTGCTCTTGAAAAATGTGATTTCAAGGCAAAGTTTTATTTATTTATTTTTTACTTTAAGATGTGAGAGCCTGAGTCACTGTGATCATATTTATCACATGCTGATGAAGACGTAGGTGGAGCGATGATGTGTTGTTGTTTTTTCTGTGTCTTTGTGTGCTCCTTTTAATTTGTCTGTACAGTTAGCAAAGTGTCTAATGAGCCACTGGACATAATTAAAAAAAAAAACTCTCACAACATAATAATTGGATGCACATTCACAAGTGATTCACTTCTGGAGTCATCCAAGTTTAAGATGGCCACCACAGATAAAAATGGCTAGAACTCAGTCAGTTTTATACATACCGAGCTAAATTTTGTGTGGTAGTAGCTTATAGTCATTCATCAATGAATGCCAATATATTTATGGATGGCACATATTCATTTACAATTTATTTTTATTTTTACAAACCAACACATTTAAAATGGTCTTTTCTCAGCACAAGTTGATCTTTGTGTAAAACTCTGGCTTGAAAGGTGACAGGTGATATCCAAGGATTGCTAGGCCTTTAATTCTTTTCATGTTTTCTTCAGTCAACATCAGAAAAACAAAAAAACTGATTTAGTTCAAGATGTATTTATTTATTTCCCATTATCTGAACCAGATTGCACAGAATTGTGACAGAAGTATTTAACAAGAGCTGAAACTGCTGTAGGTGGTGCTGTCGTAGTGGCTAAGTCCAAACTGAGTTTCCAATAGATTTAAAAGTTCTCAAGGACTTTCTTGCATTTATAAATTCATGAGTTTCAGTTGCTTTTTTTTTTTTTTTTTCATTTAGCCTTTATTTATACAGGTAGTCTCATTGAGCCACGAGAACTCATTTTCAAGAGAGACCTGTTTAGGGAGCACATGGTGGGGGTTAGGGGCCTTGCTCATGGGCCCAGAGTGGGGCGAATGAGGGTGGGGGCAAGTGTAGGTGTTTCACCTACCTCACCCACAATTTTGATGTTGTCGGGGCCGGGGCGTGAACTGGCGATTTTCGGATCACAGGCCCACCTCTCTAACCTCTGCGCCACCACTCCCCATTTTGCCACCTGATACAAATTAATAGGAAATGTTGGGTCTGAGGAGAGTGATGTTCACAGAGTAATGAACTGTTCTCTTCAATTACTGTTTTTGTATAGTTACAGTTTTTACTAATATACATGTATATTAGAGTCAGAGTCAGAGTTTCTTTGTTGTCATTCGCACCTCATGTGGTACATGTGGTGGAGCGAAATTATGTACACAGGGTCCCAGTTACATCCAACAATAAAATGTAAAAGAAAAACAGTAATAACATCTAAGATATGAACTAAGAAAAACATCAACTAAATATACACTAAGCACTCATAACATAAAAACATTACGTCGAATATCAGCACAAACATGAACATGAGTCTGTGTGAGCAGATGAGCACGCATGAACACATCAACATTGAAACAGATCAGCAGCAACATGAAACAGATCAGCAGCAACATGATGTGATTTTTTCACAGTGATTATCCTGGTTAGAGATTCATGAGTCTAACAGCCTCAGGGTAGAAGCTGTTCCTCAGTCTAGTGGTTCTACACTTAATGCTCCTCAACCTCCTTCCTGAGGGGAGTGGGGCAAAAAGTGTGTGTGCTGGGTGAGTGGGGTCCTTCATGATGCAGGTGGCTCTCTTCCTGCATCTAGAGGTGTAGATGTCTGTGATGGTGGAGAGACTGACTCCGACAGTCTTCTGTGCAGCCTTCACCATTCTCTGCAAAGCTTTTCTTTCTGCAGCCATTTATATATATGCATCCATTTATAAAGAATAACCTCTCCATTACAGCTAAAAATAGTAGATCAACGTTTCTGCATGCCGAAGGCACATTGCAGCTCAGCCAAGGAGAACAACATTATGTTTACATCCAGTCACACAATCAAAAGCATTCACTGAAGCTTATATTTTTGGAGCCCCAAATCTAACAGGGTCACTGATTATAAAAAGGTTTATTTCCACAGAATACTCACTCTTTAATGTAGATTATCAAGAAGTTAATTTAATATTATTTTTTGCTTTAATTACAATTTATCCCCCTCTCTCTTTCACTTCTTTTTCTTTCCTTACAGAACGCAGAGGGTTTTAATATGAGCATCCCAATGCCTGGCCACCCAGTAAATTTCTCCCAGGCTACTCTTTCGCAGGCCCAGAAGGACGTGGAGCAGCTGGAGAAGCTCATTTCAGAGCATGATGTGGTGTTTCTGCTAATGGATACGAGGGAGAGCCGCTGGCTGCCTACAGTGATCGCTGCCAGCAAGAGAAAGGTAGGAAGGATTGGTAAAACGTACGCTGTGGACATTCCTCTGTAGAGTTGGGGAGCTATTAAAGTTCCACTTTTGATCTTTTACATACAAACAATGACTTGTATAATGACATGCAATGTAAAAAGGAGACACCTGCAGTGAAGTACGCCCAGCAAATTATCTTAATGCTTTGTGAACCTTTTTTAGCCTCTTTTTGCTCATTAGTTGGTATTGTACATAAGCTAAGTGCTTCACTTTCACAGCTCTCGTCCCAGGAAACAGCTGTTTGCAGCTAAAAGCATCTGCATCACACATCAGATGGACAAATGTAGCCATGTGGTGGTCAAATGTCAAGCATACATTGCCTTGTTGGTCTCGATATTAATATTGGTTTATGAGTACAAGTAAGAAGTGCGCATATACTGTAAAGGGAGCAATTATACCATAAGTGGTATGCCAATGTTCTCCATCGCCGAGGAATTTAAATAGTGAATGTTAGTAGTTTTCAAGATGAGTGTTTTTCAAGAAGAGAGAGGGTTTCTTTTTTTTTTTTTTTTTTTGCTAGTCTGAGTCAGTTCAGAGTGACAGTTCCTGGCAAATGGAGGGAGCAATTTTATCCACCACTGGGCACAATGGCGGAGCCAGAGGGTGGTCAATGGTGGCCATGGCCACCATAGATTAATCTTCGGCCACCCAAATCATTTGAGGAAACTATACTTTTAAGCAATAAAAAAACTAGAAAGTATGGTTTCCTCAAATTATAGGAATGGTTAGTTTATATATAAATATAAATAAATGAATATATATATATATATTTATTTTTAATTTAATTTATTTTTTACACATACTGTGGCAGCCATCTTGGATTTTGACATGGCAACCCATTTGATGGGGACTTTTTTATGCTTCGATGCAGCTACATACCAAAATAAAAGTCGGCACATTGCTTAGTTTTCACGGTATCCACCTCACAAGGTTAACATATACACAAATATGGTGGCAGCCATATTTCGACATAGCAATCTAATTTTTGAATATAACCCCTTTTACACCTGCATGCAACCACACGCCAAATGGAAGTCTGTATCTCATTTATAAAGTTTTTGTGTTCACAACATGCACAGATGCATGGACAGAGGGAGGGAAGGTATTTCCAATTCCTCCTCTTTACTCTGCAATGGGGGACAAAAACTGTAAAAGTGTGTGGTAATGATGATTTGGTAATGTGATGAATAAGAAGCCCTTTCTAGAGCATAAATAAACTCTAATAAAATTGTAGAATTGAGTTACATTGTTGTGCAACTTAAAAATCTACCTTTATCTGCCGCTACACAAAAAAATAAAGACTTTTATTCTTTCACAATTTCTTCTTGCTGAAAAATAGTTTAATTTTTTCTTCTTGCTGTAGCAAAAGCTTCAATCAAATGACCTTGAACTAGTTCAGATAATCCTGTAAAACCAGAAGAAGGCTGGAATTATAAGATGCAGCAGATCATTTGGGTCTGATTTGGTAACAATTACCTTCCCAAATTCCCTCTGTTTGCAGAATGTGCAGCTCCATCAAAATCCAGTCTTTCTAATAATGATAATTAGACAATTATTAAAGCGTTAATCACCTTGAGGTTGGATTATTTCAGCTCTTATTATTTTAACAGCCGCCAGTCTCATTTCTTCCATCTGCAGATTTCTGCAGCCAAAGTTTTAACTGCACATGAAAAATGGGAATATTTTGATTTATTACCCAAAATATGTAAATAAATAAACTTTTATTTGCTCAATATTCTATCAGATATCTCAGATTTCTTTAACAACAGTGTTTTGCTGTTTCTTGATCTAAACTAGGTTATTAAAGAAATTGTGTATTTGTAGTAGTGGCCCAAAGGACTACCACTTTTGGGCCGAGATTGTGTAGGGGCAGGGCATCCGACTCGGGACCCGAAGGTCCTGGGTACGATCCCCTGTCATTGCACATCTCGTGGTGTCTCTGAGCAGGACACCTCATCCCAAATTGCTCCCTGGGCACTTACATAGCTGCCCACTGCTACACCTGGGTGTATCCCAGGTGCGATGGGTTAAATGCAGAGAACCAATTTCATCTTTGTATGGGAACATACAATGATGACAACACATAGCACTTTAGGTTAAATGTTCCCCTGCTACTCATATATCACACAGCTTAAGGTATATGTATGTATTCTTCTTTTAATTGAATCTTAACCGTTTCAGCATTTTTAGGTATCAATCAATCAACCTTTATTTAGACAGGTAAATTTAAAGGTAATTTTGTTCTCTTTTTTAACTCACTGTTTAGAATTCTTGTTCTATTTATTCTGTTTTTACTCGATTTTAATTTTCTGTTGTCTACTGTTTTCATGCTTTATTTTTGTGTGCAGATATTTGGTCAGCTGTAGTTGGTTTAA